CTCCCCCCCCCCCCCGAATCCAAGCCCTTAGGCACCTGAAGGTCCTTTCCCAGCAGCCTATCAGCTTGAGCCTGGGGTCACAGTAGCTCTGACTTTATGGAGGGTGCTGGGGAATTGCTGTGGGACTGTGAGCTGGAGTTGGTGTGATCAAGGTCCTGATTTTAATTTTAAAAAATATTTCATTGTGATAAAACACACATTTACCACCTTAACCATTTTAAATGTTCAATTCAGTGACATTAAGTACATTCACGCTGTTGTACAACCATCACCACCACCATCCATCTCGAGAACTCTATTCATCTTGCAAAACTGACTCTTTGTCCCCATTAAACAGCTCCCAATTTCCCTCCTAAAGCCCTTGGCAGCTGCCATTCTCCTTTCTGTACTTTCCGTCTCCACGGACTTGACAGCTCCACCTTCAAAGGGTCACCCTGGCAGTGACAGGGAGGATGCGTCTCCAGGAGGAGGCCAGCGAGGAGAGGAGAGTCAGAACCCACGTTGGAGGCGATGGCCTGAGCAAGTGTACAGCAGAGGGAATGGACTTTTTGAGAGATGTGCATGTAAGTGAGAGGACTTTTGCCACTGATGGCAAGTGGGTGAAGTAAAGGAGAGGCAGGCACCACGGATGCTGCTTGTGGTACTAAGGTAAGAGTTCTTATCAAGAAGGGGAGCTAATAAGAGGAACACGTGTTGAGGCGGAGAGACGTGAGTTTAATGTATGACAGGTGGTGAGATGTCTGAAGGAGTGTCCAGAGCACAGCTCTGCAGGGAGAGGTGCGTTCCATGTGAGGGCTCAGCATCTTGGTGGCACTAACACCCTAGAAGCAGACAGGCCCTCCTGGGAAGTCTGGGCACAGAGGGAGGCCAAGGGTGCAGCCTGGAGCACCATCACTCAGAGACAATGTGGGCAGGAGGAGAGCCTGCAGGGAGGACGGGGACAGGGAACTAGCAAGTTTACTAAAAATACTTTAAAAAAAAAATTGATGACATTATTTTTAAATTTTATTTTATTTTTAATATTTATTTATTTATCTATCTATTTATCTATCTATCTATTTATTTATTTATTTATTTATTTATTTATTTATTTATTTTTACCCTCCCTGGAGGACGTTTTTGCATTTATCTTCAGATAGAGTGCAAGGGAGAGAGAGAGTGAGAGAAACATCAATGTGAGAGAGACACATTGAATGGCTGCCACCCACACAACCTGAATCAGGGCCGGGGACAAACTGCAACTGAGGTACGTGCCCTTAGTAGGAACTGAACCCGGGACTTTCTGCTCCGTGGCACTGAGCCAAACTGGCCAGGGCTAAAAATGCCTTTTAACTCTTTGTCTTCATCTGTGTTTTCCTACATGAAGCTTATAACACTGAAGAGACCCTGAGCCCAGCATCCCTGCTGTACAGTGAGATAAAGTTCATTTGATACAGACACACTTCCAGTTATAATACTGATCTTTTAAAAGGTCAGAGGAAAAATGTTTTGATAAGAATTCAGTGAAGGACTTCCAGTCAAGATGGTAGGTAGGTAAATGCGGTATCGTGTCCTCCCACAACCACATCAAAGTTACAACTAAACTACAGAACAACGATCATTCAGAACTACCTGAAAGCTGAATGGAAGTCCTACAACTATGGAATTAAAGCAGCAGCCACACCGAGACTGGTAGGAGGGGCAGAGGGGTACGTGCTGGTCCCACACCCACGAGTGGTGGATAAAAATCAGGAGGACACCTCAGCAGGGAAGGTCCTCCCTGAGGACTGAGGGGTCCCTGTCCCACACCAGGTGCCCCGCTCAGGGTTCCAGTGCCAGGAAGAGAATCCCCATCACTTCTGGCTGGAAAAACCAGCGGGAACTGAGGCTCAGGGAGGCTAAAGCGGCTGGAGCCCCAGGCAGCTCCTTAAAGGGCCCGCGCCCGGACTTATCAGACTCTCTCCCTCTAAGCTTGGAGGGGAGGCAGCTTGAGGGGCACCAGAAACATACAGGGAAGAACTGAGCTGTTTGACACTGGAGCAAGGGCTGGAGATGGGGCTTTCTCTAGGACAGATGTGCTGTCAGGCCTTTGTTCCTTTGGTGAGCCCTTCCCTGGGGTGGCAGACAGCTGCCATATCTGGGACTCCAGCAACCTGGCTCACACTGGTGGCCCCGCCCTGGTGACTCCCTGAGGCCCCGCCCCACCCAACTTTCAAGCCCACCCAAGCTGTTGCCACTTGCTTAACCATAGGATTGGCCTGTCTTGGATCCTGCTTCAGATTTTTCCTAAATTCTTTCAAACAAGCAGCATCTGGTCTCAGCTAGCCCCAAACCGCTTGTTAAGTAATACACAGAAACAAACACAGGGAGGCAGCCAAAATGAGGAGACAAAGAAACAGGTCCCAAATGAAAGAACAGAACAAAACCCCAATAAAAGAACTAAGCGAAATGGAGATAAGCAACCTAACAGATGCTGAGTTCAAAATACTGCTTATAAGGATGCTCAATGAACTTAGTGAGAACCTCAGTGAACTTAGTGAGGGCCTCAAGAGCATAATAAAGGACCAGTCAGGCCCTGGCCGATTTGGCTCAGCAGTTAGAGCGTCGGCCTGCGGTCCTGAGAGACCCGGGTTCGGTTCCCGCTAAGGGCATGTACCTCGGTTGCAGTTTGTCCTCGGCCCTGGTCGGTTGTGCGGGTGGCAGCCACTCGATGTGTTCCTTTCACATCGATGTTGCTCTCTCTCTCTGTTCCTCTCTCTCCCTCCCACTCTACCTGAACAAAAAATGGGAAAATGTCCTCAGGTGAGGATTAAAAAAATAAATAAATAAATAAAATAAAGGACCAGTCAGAAATGATGGATGCACAGTCAGAAATGAAGGAGGTATTAACTGAAATAAAGAATAATTTACACAGATTCAGTAGTAGAGTACGTAAATCCAAGAAGCAAACCATCAATTTGGAATATAAGGAAGCAAAAAACGCCCAATCAGAACAGCAAAAAGAAAAAAGAATCCAAAAAATGAGGATAGTGTAAGGAGCCTCTGGAACAACTTCAAGTGTGCCAACATTCGCATCTTGGGGGTGCCAGAAGGAGAAGAGTGAGAACAAGAAATTGAAAACCTGTTTGAAACAATAATAGCAGAAAACTTTTCTATCTTGGTGAAGGAAACAGACATACAAGTCCAGGAAGCACAGAGAGTCCCAAATAAGATGAACCCCAAGAGGCCCACACCAAGACACATCATCATCAAAATGCAAAAGGTTCAAGACAAAGAGAGAATCTTAAAAGCATCAAGAGAAAGGCAGCTAGTTATCTACGAGGGAGTTCCCATAAGACTGTCAGCTGATTTCTCAAAAGAAACTTTGCAGGCCCGAAGGGAGTGGCAAGAAATATTCAGAGTGATGAAAAGCAAGAACCTACATCCACGATTACTCTATCCTGCAAAGCTGTCATTTAGAATCGATGGCCATATAAAGAGTTTTCCAGACAAGAAAAAGTTAAAGGAGTTCATCACCACCAAACCGTTATTATATGAAATGATGAAGGGTCTTTTTGAAGAAAAAGATAAAATATTTGAACAAACAAAATGGCAATGAATACATATCTATCAACAATGGAACCTACAAACAAAATGAACAGGCAGAACAGAAATATTCTCATAGATACAGAGATCATTTTGTTGGTTGCCAGATGGGAGGGGGTTGGGAGAATGGGTGAAAAAGGTGAAGGGATTAAGAAGTACAAATTCATTGCTAGACTGACAAACCTCAAAGGGAAGGGGGTTGGGGGGTGGGAAGAAATAAACCAAAGAACTTATATGCATAACCAATGGACACAGACAATAGTGTGGGAAAAGGTGGGAGGGGGGCGGGAGTGGGGAGGAGGGGGTCAATGGGGGAAAAATGAGGAACATCTGTAATACATTCTACATTCAACAATAAAGATTTAAAATAAATAAATAAATAAAAATGAAAGTCCAAAACCAGAAAAACAAACAAACAAAAAAGAATTCAGTGATTAAGGCAGGAGAGAAGTGATTCAAGTGAGGTATTGATTTATAATTTATTTTGAAATCAGGTGCCATCCTCCCTAACTTTCTGAGAGGACTGAGCAAGTGTGACCAGGACAGGCTGAGGCAGGAGCTTTGGAAGTATAGCTGTGCGCGGACTAGCCACCTCTCCCTAGGCAGTGCCCTAGGAGAAATACATTTTCTTTTCCTTTTCTGTCAAAGTCATTTTAAAGTAGATGCTTCTTGTAGCTGTTTGGTAACATGAGGTTCTACCAATTTTCACCCACGTTTAAAGGAAAAACAACCTTTCCCAAGTAGCACTTGGGAAAGTTTACTGCGGCATGTGAGGCATTGGGCTGTGTTAAGCGGTGCTGTCTGTGGACATCTGATAATGCTCTCTGGGAATATTCAAGAATAGTTCCTCAAAGTCAACCAGGAAAACCAGAGCCAAATGTTTCATGCTGGGCTGGACAAGCATTTCCACCAGGACCTGCTTCCCCGGACAGACTCTTATCCTAGACTGTGAACCACGGTCAAGGCTGTGGAGGGGTTCTGGGGCTGTGCGATTTATAGGTGAGGTTCAACTGGGGAGGCTGATGTTTAAGATTCAGCATGGGAAAGTTAAGGAAAAGTTGAGTTTTGGGAAGATGTCAGTCGTTTCTAACGGACAGTAGAATTGCAGGACCTACAATGACTGTCCTGGGAAGACAGCTCAGCAGGGTGGCTGGGGTTGGTGTGAAGTCTACACAGCTGGTAGCAGTGAAATCCCCTAGATGTCAGGGGTTTGCAATGGCTATTATGTATAGGATGGTGGTCTGAACCTCCAAATTTCATCTTCTATATGTGAATGTTTACTCTTTCTCAAGTTTGCTGTCATTGGGAGCTGAATCCAAGGGGCCTTTCCAGAGAGGAATCTGCCCATCTGATCCTGGAACATACTGGAACAGGGTCTGCAGACTGATGCCCAAACTCTGGAGCTCTGTTGACTGCCTTCTCTCCTGTCTCATAAGGTGAATCCCCCGTATTATCTCCCGCTGGTGGAGCTGGTCCCGCACCCGGAGACAGCCGCTGCGACAGTGGACAGGACCCACGCCCTGATGCAGAAGATCGGACAGTCCCCGGTCAGGGTCCTGAGGGAGGTTGAGGGATTTGTCCTGAATCGCCTGCAGTACGCGGTCATCAGTGAGGCCTGGAGGCTGGTGCAGGTATGCTGGCGGAAGTGGGGGCGGAAGCGGGCATGGGCCAGGGTGGAAGCTGGGGTGAGCGAGGGTGATGGTTTCCGGCCCAGGGGGCAGCAGAGCGGAAACAGCTTCCTGGGCTGTGGCTGCAGGGAGCCTGCGCTGTTTCTGGGGCTGACTGCCCGCAGTTCTTTCAGGTGCTGTGAAAAGGCACCGAAAACAAGCCAGCAGCGCAGCGTTCATTGTTACCGGAGTCATCTGTTACCGGGCAGGATGGTAGACCGTTTCCTGCCCCTCCGTGTCATTGTCACATGATTTTCTCCACTGCATTTCCCATAGACTCAGACCCCTCACCCCAGTGTAAACATTTTTCAGGAGGAAAAAAATTATATTTTGAGTAATATATACGTGTGCCCTCTAAAAGAACCCAAGTTATTTCAAGAGCTTGAGGAAGGAACAGTTACAATCCCTACACTTGTTAGTAATAGGCTTGCTTTACCTAGAAACAGAACATTATTTATAACTTCACATTTAACTACACCCTCTAATGTGACCTAAGAAGAGGCCTCTGGAAGTGGCCTCCCTGCACACACTCCCAGCCACATTTGTATGGGGACACGGTGCCCCAGGACTCGAGGGCAGGGCTGGGTTTGGGCTGAGGTGGGTGCCCGCGCTGCCACCTGCACCGTCTGAGTCCTGTGCAGGCCTGCGGGTTGCAGCCTGGGGCAGGGACAAGGATGCAACCCCTGTGGCTCCCCAGGGCAGGATGTAGTGACCCTCCCACCTCCCTGTTTGGCATTTTGTCACAGTCCTGTGAAGCTCAGTGCATTTGCCACACAATACCTGCAACTCTGTGTCCTCACTGTTTAAATCTACTTAATGCTCTTATATTTGCAAGACAGTGCCGCCATCAAGTTTGCAGTTTTAATTTCTTAGCAGTTGTAGAGTGGCTTTGAACATCAGTTGGTGGTAGAGTATTTGAAAGAAACACTGAACTAAAAGTACCCCTTTGGAGAGCTATTTAAAAGATTTTCACTTGTCTACAGTAGGCAAACAATATAATAGACACAAATAAAGTTCAATATTACAGTAAAGCATTGTGGGAAGAGCCACAGGGGTTCTGCTGTCCCCTTCCCTGGTTGGAATTTGGTTGCTTTGTCAGTTCTTGTTGCCTCATTTTGCCCGCCCTTCTTTTGACTGTCCTGTCTCCAGGGGCTAATGGCAGACAGAGTGTGGTCTGCTAGTTTTCCAGGACGGTACACTTTCTGAGAAAGGAAATCCTGTAGGTGTCTTTACAATGGCTGCTGTGGGATTCACATGCACGGATCCCCGTAGGAACTGAGTGCTGAGATCCAGCAGGATACAGTGTTGATGTGGCAAAATGAGATTAAGAAAGTGTGAATAGAACTCAAAGAATTGCCTTTGGTGGAAGTCTTGGAGATAATTCACTCAAAAAATAAAGTTGAGCCCTGGGTGGCACAGTTGATTGGAGCATTGTCCCGAACACCAAAAGGTGGTGGGTTTGATTTCCCATCAGTGCACATACCTAGGTTGCCAGTTCAATCCCTGGTCCGGGTGTGTACGGGAGGCAACTGTTCAATGTTTCTCTCTCACATCAATGTTTCTCTCCCTTCTTCTCTCTCTAAAATAAGTTTTTAAAAATCCTAGGGTGAGGATTAAAATAATTTAAAAAAATAAAATTGATTACAGACAGTGAGAATGAAGGCAAATCTAGAAACTGCAGGTCTTTCTGTCCAGGTTGGGGTGAGGGGGGACTGGAAGAACTGTGGGGCATCCCTGAGCACTGCCAGGAGGACTTACGGTGAAAGTGAAGCGTCTCTCCTTGAGGGTCAGGGCTCAAGGGGAGGGAATATGGAAGGGTTGTGCCTACTTTTACTATCACTGCTCAGGAGTAACTGCGTCTTTGGCTTCCCAGACCCAGAAGGGCCACTAGCACACTAGACGTGCACCTGTTCTCAAAGTAGTTGCTTCCCCGGGCAGAGAAGCTGCCGGTCTCACTCCAGCAGGACAGAATACCTCTTGTTGAGCATATGGTCACTTCTGGGCCTTGCACCCCACTAGAGATACCACCCCCTGCCTCACTCCCCCTGGGAAGAGTGGATCAATATTTCTGCTTGGGGGGGGGGGTAAGGATTCTTGATTTTATTGCATGAATTTTGTTTTTTAAGCTATATTTTTATAGAGAGAAAGGAAGGGAGAGAGAGATAGAAACATCAATGAGAGAGAACATCAGTTGGCCACCTCCAGCAGGTCCCTTATTCGGGATTTGGCCTACATCCTGGGCATGTGCCTTGACCGGGAATGGAACTCATGACCTCTTGGTGCATGGGGCAGCACTCAACCACTGAGCCACACTGGCCAAGGCTGTGGCATGAATTTCTTGATAGAAAACCTTTGCTTCTTGTGGGTCTGTTTGCACTTCAGGTGTTGAATGTTAGAAAGTGAGACTGCCTCCCTCTGTCTTCGCTTCTGTGCGTGTGCATCGAGCTGGCCAGGGCTGGGCCTAGATGGCACCCCTTTGACTCACAGCTGCAGAGCCAGTTAGACTTGATTAGATGTGGGGTGTTCCAAGTTAATCTCAAAATATTTAAGGGCAGCTTTATTTTATTTTATTTATTATTATTTTTTAAGGGCAGCTTTATTTTTAAAAGGAGTTGAATCTGGGAGGTTTTATAGTAAAAACAAGATTTTAAAATATTTTTTAAGTTGAAAAGATCAAAAGACCTTGCAGAGTTTCTCTTTCCATGACATGCTCTTTCCAGGGTGGGTTTTGTGTGGATGGAAGCCCCTGAGGCTCAGCCTGGGTGTGGTGAGCAGAGTGAGCTGAGATGCCTTCACTCTCTGGATTCACGAAGCACGTTGAAATGCGGCAGAGCCATCTCTCTGTGACCCCAGCCGGGCTGGTGTACTATCCAGCCTGGATGGGAAAGGCACAAGGTGACTGGATTCCAGAGCTCTAAAAGGTCTTGTTTGGATAGGGACTTGTGTTGGGTCAGCAATGGATCAAAGAATGCTGTTCCCTATTGGCTGTGTAAACAGTTCTGCACAAACCTAATTCAACAGTGGATTTCTAGGCGCCCCAACCTCACACTGGAGTATGAGCTGGAGTGAGACCGGCAAGGACCTGGCCAGAATGATGGCCTGGGTTCCCACCCAGCCCTGGCGGTGTCCTGATGTGGGTGTCAGAGGAGCAGAGGAAACTGCTTTGCCACTTGCTAACTCTTGATGGTGGAGGATACTTTGATTGACATTCCCATGTTAAACAGCTTTGCATGCCTGGAATAAATCGCACTTGGTCTTGATGTATCATTCTTTTTTGACATTGCTGGATTAGATTTGTTTATGTTGAGAACTTTTTGCATCTAATTTCAGAAGAGATACAGGTGTGTAGTTTTCTTTCTTCTTTACTATTTTTGTTTTATTTTGATATCAAGGCAATACTGCATAGATATTAAGGCAATAACATATAAAATGAGTTGGGGCCCTGGCTGGTTTGGCTCAGTGGTTAGAGCATCGGCCTGCGGTCCAGAGAGACCCGGGTTTGGTTCCTGCTAAGGGCACTTACCACGGTTGCAGTTTGTCCCCGGCCCTAGTTGGGGTTGCGCAGGAGGCAGCCACTCGATGTGTCCCTTTCACGTCGATATTTCTCTCTCTCCCTCCCACTCCATCTGAACAAAAATGGAAAAATGTTCTTGGGTGAGGATAAAAAAAATTAAAAAAATAAAAAATAAAATGAGTTGGGAAGTTTTCTGTCCTCTTCTATTTTCTGAAAGAGATTGTAAAGCTTTTTGTTAATTATTTTTTGTTTGGTAGAATTCTCCAGTGAAACCACCCAGGCCTGGAGAGTTCTTTTTGAGGAGGTTTTTAATTGCAAACTCCTCTTCTTTAACCATTCTAGAACCATTCAGGTTGTCTGTTTCATCTTGATTGAGTTTTGGTAGTTTGTGGTTTTTGAGAAATTGGTCTATTTCTTCTGAGTTGTTGAATTTATGAGCATAAAGTTGTTGGTGGAACTCTTATTATCCTTTCGTGGCTGCAGGGTCTGTAGCGATGGCCCTGGTTTCGTTCCTGAAGTGGGTGACTGTGTCTGCTCTCTTTATCTTTGTCAGTCTTGCAGAGGTTTATCAATTTTGTTGACTTTTTGGAGGAGTCAACTTTTTGTTTCATTGACTTTCTCAGTGGTTTTTCTGTTTTCAACTTTACTTACTAACGCTAGAGGGCATATATTAATACTTATAGCCAAGCTTGAAAGAAATTTTAAGAAAAGTAGGGCGAGGAGGCTACCATGCTAGACTATCCACTGTGGGGCTCGAGGGGGGAGCCAAGCCATAGGTTTCATTTCTAGGTCAGAAAGGGAGAGCGCCGGGAATAAGAAGCACCTTGTCTTTACCGCATCCTAGACCGTGACACACTGTCCTGTCGTCCGTCCTCACAAGCGCTGCAAGGGCAGGGACTATCTGGGAGCAAGATGGGCGCCTAGAAATCTGAAGGAACGTGGGAGCTGGATTCTGTTGTTGTCTCCCAGACCTCACTTTCTTCCTTTTCAGTTGACTTCAGAACCAGGATGGAGCTGCCCTTGTAAGCTTGGAAATGCCAGATGGACAAGTCTGTCTGCAGTCCAACATTGGGTGACAGGATCCTGTTGGCCAGGAATGTGACTTTGTGCCCATATTCTTAAGATAATGAGCACAATAAGGGAAGTTGTGTTGTAGTGATCAACGCTCTCCCAGACAATAGCTGAGCTTGTACCGATAAATCCTTGCTCCATAGAGGATGAGTAAATTGAGGTGAGCAGACATGAATCACGGGGCCACGAACAGGTTCTCAGCCTGCTGGATGCACTGGTGACAATATGTGGAGAATGCTGAGCGCAGGTCTTACTCATCCTTCTAAGTAGTGGTATTGTTAGGCTGGGTCTCTTCCCCAGGCCCTGAGCTGCAGAAACACAGGTCTTGGTTTCTCACCAGGGAAGAGTGGTCTGTGGGACCCAGATGGGACCCTTTGAG